CTTAAAATCTAACACCAAACACAGCAACTTAAATTGGCAATATGTTACATGAATGCGTCTATTAAATGATTAAAACTAAATAAACGATCAAACATCTACCATTACTGTTTTATTAAATGTATAGATATATCAGTATATACAATATACGATAACTGCGAATAATTTTGTATAAATATAGACTAGTGTATTACCTTAATAAAAATAACACTAGTTTTTAAATACGATTAAATGCATGATTTTAACAAAGATTTAAAAACTATATAAATCTTTGGATTTTAATAGAAAACTACAAATTCATCCAACAGATGTCACTCTACTTTAAACATACTAGTAAGTGTAATTTTATTCTGTTCAATGTATTAAAAATATGTTATCAGTTATCTGTTAAAATAAAAAAGTCGTTCAGCTGTTTTAATAATACAACTTTTATCAAATCCAGACATACAATCTACATTAAATTTTATAAAAATACAATTATTGCCTATTTATAATAAACTTTACAAGCGGCGGATTATCATCTAAGCTCGTGTGGTGAAATAGGGTTTATTTTGATTTTAGAGTAATAGCTTGACTAACTGACTGACTTCTATAAATTAATTTCAAAAATAATATTGATTTGTTTCTTTGACATAAAAATGCATATTATAAATTATCGACTTAATTGCTGTTTAAAATAAATGCAACTTAAGGAATAAAACATTTTCTTTTATAATTGCAGGTTATCAATATTTCACATATTAATTAATTAAGAAAATATTTAAAAATTCAGTAAGATTAAGATATGGAATTATTTGATTATAACTACTAAATTTTATGGATTTTGTCGCGATTAATCTTAACTAATATTTTTTTATTTCTCTCGCGCTTTGCAGCAAACGTATAGGTACGTAACATACAAAGAAGTCATTAACGTTTAAAAGGACTTTTTTATTTTATTTTTATTTTTCTGATACAAAAATTAAATCATCTGTAATATCATAAGAAGTCTTCGATAAAGTATTAGGACAGAAGGCGTTCTGTACCACGTCTTTAAAGAAAAATAAAGTGCAAAAAAAAATTGCTAATAATTAATTTATCCACAAGCTAAGCTTTGTGATTTTAAAAATAGTAGAATTCAAAATCCTTCTCGATATCACAAATATTTCCTTTACAAGGATTTTCTTGGATTTTCCGATATCAGTCTTGCAAGCTTCGACTTTGTCTTTGATATTAAATGCAGAAGATTATAATATAAAAAAAATCACTGTGTAATAATAATTTTAATATAAATGATACAAATGTTGAGTTGAATAATGTATTAATAATAAATACCACTTGACTTGACTTGATTACAAAAAAATACGAATGAATTTAACAAATTTTTATTAAAAATCGAGTTTGCAAATAAATTACTGCTTTTTCTAAATCCAAATTATTGTGGACTATTTTCGTAGAAAAATAGTAATATTTTGTTTAATTTTTTTTTCTTTTTTAACTATTATTTTACTAGTAAACGGTAATAATTTTGTGCCTTTATTGTGTACATGTAGTTATGTTTTAAAATCTTTAATTATGTATAGCCTATGCCTTAGAGGAAGTAAACTCCTAAATATTTACTTGTACAGATATCTCTATGTTTATACTAATTATAGAAGAATATTAAACATACTTTTACAAGTTAAAATTATTTCGATTTTCGAAGATATTCGCTTGCGATTTGTGCATTTTAAGCGGCTTTTAGTCTGCATTTAACAGGACTAATAAACTTGGGACCAACAAAAATGTCATGGATAGATAATATATTATTATATAATATAGATATTTTATTATATTATCATAGATATTATATTCATAGATCAACTAATTAATAACAGCAATATATATAATGCCATCTTTATTGATACCTCGAAATAATAATTAATATATAAATTATTTTCTTACATTATTATCGTAGATATCTCACTTAACACTAGTATGAAATTTTGAGAAATGGTTACGTTGTATTACAATTATATGTCAAATGGGGGATTAAAATGTTTATTTACTTTATATTTCTAATGGTACAAAAATGTTCAAGAGAAATTTTATTTCGACCGTTTGAGTATGCACTCAATCCTACCTATTTATACTATAGCTGCAGTTTTATAGAATATTTCATCATTGTCGTCAGAGGCTGGCAACACGAAACTTTGTCTTAAAATTGGGTACATGGCTTAGTAGGTAGTTGAACTTGAGTCAGTCCGGGTAGGCCACCAAGCAGCAGTGCATACTCGTACACTACTCTGTTCCAATCTGAAGGGTAGCCAGTAAAATTATAGGCTAGCATTCAATTTTAGTCTTTAGAGGTAACAAGCATCTGCCTCTGTTATATACGTGGTAGTGCCACGCTCTCACAGAATGCCAACGTAAAATAGCAGCTAAATGCTGCTGTGTTTCGTATGTGAGTATAGAGAACCGGAGACCCTTTTTACTGGAAACGAGGCATCCCATCTTAGTCCTCACGGGTGACAACGCATCTGCATTTTGATTCTTAATCGAGGATAAATGTAGATGTCTAGGGGCCACAGCATTCACTTACCACCAGGTGGACTGTGTGCGCGTTTGTCACCCTTATTCTATAAAAAATATATTTAGTGTTCTTTAGTTAACGTTGGTCCATGTGCTGGAGTGTCCACTTACTATAAGGTATTCATATTTATGTATAAGAAGGGTTGCAGTTGTCACTTTTTTGTGTGAGCAGCTATGTAAGTCTAGCAAGTATAGTATCTCTATGACCTATTGTGATCGCAGCTATAACTAGTTCTTTGCCCTACATCTTCAGTGAATTCTAGTCGTTGCTTCACTGTGAGCATTTTCACTTCTGGGATAAGTTGGTGCGTAGTTTTTAAGATGAGTGCTACGTTTGCACATTACGGGTCCCCAATCAAAATGTACATCAGAGTTTTTGGTCATTTAGCAACACTATCAGCACATCCTTAAAATGCTTAGTCCCAAGATTAGCTTTTTTAATATCCAGTCAGGGTTCTTTCCAAAAATGCGCAGTTTGTTCTTACTTACTTAATTTACTATCAGTTACAATCAGCGGTCACGTATACTGCAAGCTCGTTAGTATTCATAATGATAAATAATGATTTCAATTTCTGATACAAAATGATGAATGAATTGAAAATTGAAAATAAAAGGAAATTAAAAAAAATCTTTCCTTTTAAACGACCTTATATTTTTACCTAAAAGCGTTCCAACATGAGGTTTTTTGCTGACAATGAACCGCGAAAGAAATTCCGCGGGTATCTTTTTAGTAATTTTCTTAAAGACCAATAAACGGTTCGCCATGTAGCGTAAGAATACAAAGAATAAATACCCCATAATATGATCTACTATGGCAAATATCCCTGCGATATAGCAATCTTTGAGGGAGGTCTATGTTCAGTAGGGAACTTTTAATGGGCTGTAAATGATAAAATATTCCTAATAATTCGTTAAAATAAAAATGAAATGGAATAGATCTATTGTAAATTTATACCAATGTACAGGGTTATTTTGCAATCACCGGCCTAATTTGCAGAGAAGGTTCAGAATAAGTAACAGGCAAATGGTGAAGAAAAATTAATTAAAAAAAATCTCAAACATTCTGTCCTTTTTATCTCTTAAATTCAAAATGCGTGGTAATGCATTGTTTTAAATAATTTTTCAGCGCACGCACGCATTCGACAAGGGTCGATCGGTAGGCAAAAACGTTGTGAATTGAATCGCACACAAGAGCGCACGTACGCGTAATTGTTACCCATAAATCACATTTAATTTGAGATAATTTCAATAAAAGAAGAAGTCTTAATTTCTCGTATTTTCAAAAACTGCAATAACGGTATATCATTATTTATATATTTGAACTTAAGGTTAAAACTCGGCTACTCTTTGAAAAATAACCCTGTATAGTGTATCTTTTTTAATCTTAGAAGACCAGACCCTTGCGAGCGTGTGCCAGGATCGATTCACAAAATGTATACTTTATATATGAAGCTTTTAAGTGAAGACTGCTTGGACAGTAAGAAATTGTAATATGAAAAGTAAATCTATTATTTTTATCAACAGTTAATGTAAAAAGCCCGTTTTACGGCATAATTCTATAGATTCTACGATATGATGACGTCACAACAATATACTTCTGTTAGAGATCTCTATTGAATTTGTCGATAGTAATGTTATAATTGAATAAATATGAATGTTATACGTTTGCCCATTTTAAGTACCTATTATATTTTTTGCAAAAATGTGTACATAATATCCAATTAAATATTAATTTCTTCATTTATAATTTTATAAGGGATTTTTTTGTACTGCACTGACTCTAAGAATAGGTATTTAAGTAATTTGGTTTATTTTTGTGTTCTTTTTTAATTATTTGCAAAATGAAAAGAGATGACACAAAAATAAATGTTGATACAATATTAATGTTGTTCACATACGGATTTTTTATATACTTAATTGTGCCTGTGAACTCATCCTCGCTATTTTAAGAATGAAATAAAAAAGTACCTATACCAAAATAAATATATTAGTAGATAGAATTCACACGCTTCAATAAACATTTTTTTTAATGTTATATCCAACTATGTAGTAAAATACGAAAGTAGGTAAAATTAATTTACTTATTTTTTTATATTTGTGCTAGATGTGCGTCCATGACCGCCATTTTGTATTTATACAATGTATGTAAAAATAAAATTTTAAACACACCTCAAACGATTTACGTATAAAAGTTCACATCTTAACACTAGTAAAAACTATTCGAATATACCACGCAGTAAGTTCACTTAGCCTAGGATTATTGAACGTCGTGAAGGTCGACAATTTGGTACTTTTACTAAACCACATCAAACTGGCAAACTTAAAACTAATTTACAAGCATAGAAAACAGTTGTCGATATGGTGACACGCGTTCCACGACCCCAAGGGGCCGACGCGTCGTGAGCTTTACAAGCTCCAATATAAATCAATTCCAATATTCATTCCGAAAGGGTTTAAACTCCCGTGTGATTGAAGATAAAAGATACGGCGTTTTTGTCAACGGGCGGAGATCGGCGGGTGATTGATGCATGATTATTGTTGTTATAATGCCATGATTTCCTGGTAGATGTACTCGAAGACTGAAGCGCAATGGTCTCGTAATAGCGAAGCCTTCCGCAGCATTTTCTGCTCTTAATAATTGCGACGAAGCCCTTCCTGTATTTCTTGTTGAAGAAAGCGTATAGTATTGGATTGATGCACGAATTTGAAGCACCAAGCCATTGCGCTAATGGCGTTACAATTGGAAAAATGTCCTCCTCCCATTTTTGAATGGGTCCGCCCAGTTTTATCCTTGCGAAGATCAAATACAATGGGAACCAGGACAGTACGAATAGTATAACAACAGCGACTAGCATTTTAACAACTTTAACTTTCGATTTCTGTTGCATTCTCTCCATTTGGGCGTCTTGTGTGTCAGTTGGGATGGAGCGTCTCCACACTTTGATCCAAATTAAGATGTAGCACATGGTAATTAGTACCATCGGCAAAATGTAGCAGAAAATGAGGTTACCAATCACAAAGTACAAGACCTCGCTCAAGGGGTTGGGCCAGAGGTCCAGACAGAGTCGTACGTGAGGGTTGTCTTCGAAAACAACCACCAGATCGAAGAAGAACACCCAGGGCGTGGTGACCGAGATGGCAAATATCCATATGAAGACGATCATCATTCTGGCACGGCGTTTCGTTATTTGGCATTTGAGTGGCCACCAAATAGCGAGGAATCTGAAACAAAGAAACGGTGTTGTTAATTTTATTTTGTATTTTAATATAAGAAATGAAAGGCACAGATACACTCCACTATACTACCGAGGAATATTACGATAATAATACGATGTCGTATTATTATGGTCCCATATCGTCACATAGTTGTTACAAGAGGCACCAGAGGAAAACTGAAACAGGAGCTGGGGTACAGCACCTTCCTGATAACAACTCAAAATAATAAAAAACTGCCGTTGCCAACCCACCTGCCAAGCGTGGCAACCAAGGCAAAATTAGGAGGTAATCTATGGGGAGGCATTTGTTCAGCGATGGATTTTTATAGGCTGCTGTAATGGATGGATGGATGGTCAAGAAATGTAATATATATAATATTCTAATATATTATATCATACGAGTTGTTTATGATTAAATATTTTGTTCTTGAGTTAATTTAATGAATCATTTGAAATAATAAATTGCCACAAGGCAAATTATAACGGCCCTGTGGCGCAGTGCCTTAGCAATAAGTTGCAGCGCTATGGGTTGCGGGTTCGAATTCCGCACGGATCAAGTATTTGTATGGCCTACAAATAACTGTTCTGGGTCTATAGGTATGTCTTTGTCAAATTTATGTATGTTAACTGGCCCCACGATACAGGAGAAAATTAGGAGATATTTTTTAAAAATTAATTATAAATTAACTAATAGCAATAGATGTGGAGCAATTACGGATTCCAATGGAGCATTTAAGGAGCAATTAATTGGCATACAGTATAATTATAAAAAAAATCTACGCTAACTTCCTTCCGGTTGTCAAAAGCGTAAATAATATTCTACGCTAACTTCTTTCCGGTCTTTTGACATGTACTATTATCATGGGATGGATTTTTGGTTGTTGCTGATTATTTAATTTGATAATGATCGATTTTGATATGTAAATTTCAATAAATCAAAAATTTCAAAGAAAAAAACAAATGCGCATATCTCTATCAGGGACTTCGTGTATAATATATAGTATTTCATAGTGGATTTTTTCTCCAAATTTATATGGGACCACCCTTGAAGTATAACCTTTTTAATAAAAAAAGAATCTTCAAAAGTGGTCACAATCTGCGAAAATATCGCGTAAAATACATACAAAAAACATACACTCGAATTAAGAACCTCCACCTTTTTGAAGTCAGTTCTGACCGTATAGTTACAAGTTACGTAGTTATTCTATCTTTGAAAATTTAAAAAAATCTTTGAATATTTTTGTTGTCACCTAAATCAATATGCTTTTGAATCTTCCTTCATTGCCCTTCTATATTTGTGCCAACTTATATAAAATACTTTATACTTTTTTTTCGTAAAAACGTTTTAAATAATCACTGCACGATTATAGGACACGGAAATCACTTTACGGCAAGCGAATTTCTCGCAAGACATAAAACCAACCGAGCGGCAAGGAATTATCCAGTCTGCTAGTTTAATTGCCTTCCAGTTGAAAAATAAGGAGCCAAGATGTAGTTTTTATGACGGTAGCACGATAATTGTCCGTCGTTATTCGATAAAGAAAAAGGGTTACACAAGGTACTTGAATAGGTCCAGACATATTGCTTATAGTTTTTGAACGTTAGAAAATAACTGTGTCATTTACCATAAAAAAGTTTAGGTAGATAGATATAGTATATTTTGAATCCTAAAACACCAACACCCACATACTTTTTATTGTTACACATTATAACTTAGGTAACAGTGGACAAATGTAATGTAATAATTTAATAGGAAGCCGTGATAAAATTTAGTGAATTTTTACATTTTCATGTATTGAATTTGATAATTTTTTTGAATATTATTTAAATTTAAACTGGAAAAAATTCCACCTCTGAAGGTGAAAAGGGTGTCTAATGTAATTATAAATATGGACGATGTTTTAGTTGTCACCCTTTTTTTTTTTTTTACATGGGGAAATGCCTACGCATACCCGCCTCGCGAGGGCAAGGACGGGTTATGTCGGACTCGCACCGACTAAAACCCCATGGTGTTCCACCCTCGTCGCATATTGGCAGGGCCACGGGAACGCTTTCGCACACATACAGCCCCACCTGCGCTGGCCGCCCCATGGCGGCCCCTCCTCGGGAGAGGACTACTCCTCCCCCATCTCCCTCTCAGGTAAGGCGCACCAGAACACATGGCGCGCCCTCCTCCTCGGCCTCCAACTTAACATGCGCAACGGACGCCCCCGTGTCCGATGCGCGAAGGCCATGGGGCCAGGAAAAACTAGCACTCAGAAGCACCGGCCTTCCTGGCCCCAGCGGCGGATCTGGTCTATGGCTCCGCCGCCAACCAAGATTCGGCTGCGGAGGGTAGGGAGAGCGGCGCCTCGCAATACCGACACTCCTCTCCCACCGCAGCCCCACCACCACCGCATCAATCGACGGTGCGGCCCCGCCTGAGTCGCGGAGGATAGGGCGAGTGGCGCATCGCCATACCAACACTCCTCTTCCTCCGCGACTCCACCTCGGCTGCAGCGGTAGAGGGTGCGGACCCCCCTCTCACCGCAGCCCCTCGACACACATCCGAAGTGGGCTCGCCAAGACCACTCGGAGTGGCCACCTCGGGCCGGCCCTACACCACGGGCCAGCCAAGGGGTTCCTCTTTGTTCACCGTGGGTGACCAAGCCACGGCTACTAAGCCCCCCCGCCACGACAAGGCGGGAACCCGTTCGGGGGGGTAGTTGTCACCCTGAGCTTTATTTATTGTTGAGTCCTCTGAAAGGGTCAATTTGAAAAAAAAAATCATATTTTACTGGTAAGAATATTAAATAATTGCAACATATTTTATTAGTTTCTGACGTCGAGGATTTAATTCTTTGATATACTTTGTCTTACCATCGACTAAGGAAGCTATTAATTTATGTGGAAATTCATTATTAGTTAAAGTTATTTGAAGTTAGTTTATACTTTTATTAAGTTTAATTATTGAAGTTATACTTCTTTTGGGGCGTTCGGGAGAAATGATGGGAGTGAATTTTTACGATGCGTACGCACCGACACCTAAAAAGGACACCATGAAGTTGTTACGATGCGTACGATGCGCACGCACACTGATACCTAAAAGCGACGACTTCAGTGAGTAATTGTCTCGCAAGTTTTTTCCTACGTGCGTACATAAGTGCACATACACTTTTTTATAAATGAACTCAGATATTTTATAGTTTACCTTAACTGTCGTACATATCAAGCGTTAACTTTTCCTGTACACGTGTACAATGTGTTCAATATTTCCTCCTTCCGGTTTAGTTGTAAGACAGTAATTATTTAAGGCTTTAACTTAAATGATACCCGGAGTGATAACCAACATAAACTATTTATTAAACCACTTTATCATCACACACTATCACTGCAGCTCATCACAAGTCCACTGCTAAACATTGGCCTCCCCCATAAATTGCCACAAAGCACGATCCTAAGCCACCTGCACTATTGACCACCTACGTGTTTCATCAAGTCATCACTCCATCTAGATGATGGTCGCCAAACACTGCGCTTGCCAGTGCAAGATTCTTTCCCATCGGTTTTCTTATAGAATAAGGGTGACAATCTAGCACACAGTCCACCTGATAATAAGTCGATGCTGTGGCCCATACACATCTACATCTATCCTCTTTTAAGAATCAAAATGCAAATGCGTTGTCACTCCTGAGGACTAAGGTGGAATGCCCCGTTTCCAGTAATAAGAGTCTCCGGTTCTCTACACTCACCATAAGAAAGACAGCAGCATTAAGCTACTATTTTACAATGGTACACTGTCTAAGCGTGGACTTTCCCCGGTCGACTCAATCCGTTCATGTTACAACCATAATATTGCTGTAGCATGTCTCTACAATGTATTCCGATCTGAAGCGTATACAGAGCCAGTATTATTACATGCTGTGAGACATGCTATCTTAGTCCTCAGAGGTGAAAACGCATATGTAGCTTGGGCTTTTGTCATGGACATTTGTCATGAGAAGCCACTTACCATAAGGTGGAAAATAACTTCCTTTATCACTTCAATTTTATAATTATATGTATTTATTATAATATAAAAAAATTGTAAGAACAGTTGTGCGGGAGATACATTTTAAATATCAAATATTTCGTATGTCTACTGGGTAACAGAATTAATATTGTTACAGATTTAAACTGCAATAGTAGAGACAGAATATGAATAATTTATTCATAAACAGACAGTTCAAGAACAGGTTAATCTAAAAAAATATGCGTTCATTCTGTAGTCTGTAAAGTAAGGAGCGCACCAAGTGTAAAACAAAAATGTTTGTACCTATTATGTTTTATGGCCCGATGCCGGCGCCGTCACAAATTAATTAAGGATATTCATGTTCTAATAGCTCACCTCGAACGCTAAGCGAGATAGGTTGGGCTCGATCGCCCTCATTAAATTATTTATACTTTGTTTTTACTTTATTATTTTTATTTTCAAGAAAACGATATCACCTCACTAGAACTTTTTCCTGTATTGTGACGGCAGTTTACATACATAAATTTCGCAAGAACAAACATCCAAACCCAGAACAATTATTTGTAGGGCACACAAAAACTTATTCCCTCCTTCCTTCCTTGTCCTGGAGCCGTCAAACTTTTACTTCTTATCGCATGATATACCTCTCATTTGTAAAAAAAAGAGTTGATCTAGGTGTGTTAAAACCTTAACTGTCTGCCTTGAGCTATCGATAAATACGTCGTGGTCATATTGTCATACACTCGCCACTCAAGACTGGTCAATGATTATTAATAATCGTGACATAGGTCAGCGATAGACTGAACAAGTTTGATATTTATATAGTTCGCACGTATTTAATTACCTTGCTCGAAATAAACTTCCTCAAATTCTTATTATTTTTCGTGTGATTTGTGACATTATAACAGTGATTTCGTTTCCTCTTTTAGAGTCTAGGCTCAAATTACAGATAGATCACATAGCCTTAGATGGATGAATGAAGGCAAGATACAAGAGATCAAAACAGTTCCACGAAA